ACCAGCGCCATCGCGCACGCCGTCAGCGCCAGCGCCAGCGCGCACGGCACTAGTTGGAACTAGAGGGGACTCGGAGTTATTGTTGGCTAGGAGCTATGGGGGACTTAGAGATGTGGTTGGCTTGGAACTGAGGGGGACGGGGAGCTATTGTTGGCTAGGAGCTATGGGGGACTTGGAGATAGGGTTGGCTTGGAGCCACGGGGGACGTGGTAGAAGTATCGAACACAAGTTCACCAAAACCCTAGCGCGGTTGGTCAGTTGTCACCTAACTCCAGCTCAGCTCTATACATCTCTCATTCAATATACAGAAATGTACATTATATCATAGATAGGTTGTAGTATATATAATAGGATATCATGCAATTGTACAACTTTGGCTCCCTGTTGCGATTTGTTTTGTATGGTTTAACATCATTTGGAATCAGAACATCTTACATAGACCTTTAAATAATATTATCCATAATTGGATACTAGAAACCACAGTACGCATAATCTCACATATGGTACTATAAATCTCACATATTTTTATCTCTTTAATGTTTAACTCTCATGGTGGTACCATCACTAAAGTATTGGAATTTTGCTATTGATATCATACTGATTTTATCACACACCACATGCTAATAAAAATAGCGTAACATTCTACACAACCCTTTCGACGTGAAGTCGAAACTTGTATACGATTGAATTATATGAAAATATATTTTTCACACATGTATGTGCATGAATACAACATAAAACCATAAAATGAGGCAAATTAACTGGGATGCTTGTGTGTTATGAATAATAATTGAGAGTCCGCGGAATAATAATAGCGAGTACAAGAATGGAAGGCTAGCACTAAAAAGCGAGAGCTCTAGCTGGGCGACGACCTCGGAGGGCTAGGTTGGGTACAGGCGTGGTCGAAAAGGCCAGAGGGCGAGCCAGCCTTGGGGTTGCATCGGAATCGGACCGAGCATGGTCTTCCGAGAGTTCGGGTGTACGCGATTGCAGTACAACCCGGTAAGGAATAAAATTACATACACTACCCCCCCTTCTAAGGAAGGTGGTCAATATCAGGAACGCCTTTTCGGGTAAAATACGATTTGAGCACCGAATGTTCCTGAAGCGAGTCGAAAGTGACCCATGTGTCGTCTTCGCTTGTACGGTCGGTCCAGCGGACAAGGAAATCCATGTGTTGTCTAGTGGTGTTGATATGAATGCGATGACTGAGAATTCGGAAAGGCTCAAGTGTCGGTTCGGCCATCGGGCGGACACTGAGGACGGCCGCTGGTCGTGTGACTGCTGACATGCTGGCGACGTAAGGATGAAGTAGGCTGATGTGGAAAGCGTCGTGGATGCGCCACTCGTCCGGGAGTAATGATTTCGTCGTGATGGGTGTCACCATTTTGACGATGCGGAATGGCTTGTTAAATATTGGGCGAAGTTTGCATGGCAGGGGTAGGCGAAGGTTCTTCGTATCGAGAATGACTAATTGCCCAGTGGCCATGGTAATATTCCATCGATGAAGATCGGTGTAGCGTCGGGCTGTGGTGTCGGATTTTTAGATGAACTCGATTGTTTTTTTCCTGAGCGGTCTGTAGGTCGCTGACAAACTGCTGGGAGCGGGGCACGGGATTTCTTATGTTGGTCGTCGTAGGTACGGTAGGATCCATACCGTAATTGAGGAAGAAGGGCGGGTGATTAGTCGTGGCAGATGGGGCAGCATGGGCAGGAATTCTTCCCACCGAGCAGGATCAGGGCAGTTGGTACATATCAGCTGCTCCATTATTTTATTTGTGCGCTCTGTCTGGCCGTCGGTTTGTGGGTGGTAGGCGGACAAAAATTGCAGGCGGTTGTCGTACTGTTCCCAGGTCTCCTTCCAAAAGATGGACGTGAACTTTTGGTCTGGCCAGAGGTAGACTTCTTCAATTAGTAATTCCTGGAGGAGTCGGTACCCAAATGCGGGGACCCAAATGCGGTCAGTGCCGGCTTATAGGAAATAAATTATCTTGGTCGTGGTGCCTTGCTGATGGAGGTTGCTGGTGAAGAACGGGTCGGTGGTGTATCTGTCGGCAAATAGTATGGTGAGGAGCGGGTTGGATTTTGCTATGATGACGGGCGTGTCAGTGCGTCGGCGATGTTATTCGCCCCAAATTTGTACATGATGGTGTAATGGAAGTTGCTCTCATGGAAGTCCAGCCAGCAAATCTGTCGTGGGTTGAGGTTCGACTGCGCGCGGAGGTACCGTAGGGATTTGTGGTCTGTCCGTTCTGTCATGTCGGCTCCCGTCAGGTAGCAGCGCCACACTTTGAATGCATGCACGATGGCAACCATTTCTTTGTCGTGGACGTGGGAGTTGCGCTCAGCAGCCTACAACTTTCTAGACTCATACACGATTGGCTGGAGTCAATCAACGAAGTCATGTAACAGTACTGCGCCGATGGCGAAATCGCTGGCATCCGTAAAAAACTTTGAACCGTCGTGATGGATCAGCAATTTATAGGACCGGGGAAGACATCAGAAAATTTATGAGTTAGTCGAAAGTAGTCTGCTGTCTCTATTCCCACTCAAACGTAGTGCCCTTCCGCAGCAGGTCAGTATAAGGTCTGGTTGTCCCTGCCATATTGGAGATAAAACGCCGGACGATTAATGAACCCAAGAAAACTCTGGTGCTTCTATAAATTCATGGGCGGCTTCCACTTGCGCATGGTTGTGATCTTCTTCGGATGGATTTTAATGTCGTCCGCTCCAATGACGTGTCCCAAAAAATTCAGTTCAGATTTTAGAAACTCGCACTTTAGGTAATGAGGCGGTCTGCTGCAGCTGTTAGAAAACCGTGTCGAGGTCCTTGAGGTGTTATTTCTTGGTGTTGTTGAATATGAGAATATCATCGAGGTAGACGACGACACACTTGTCAAGCAGATCTCTGAACACGCCATTCATGGCCAGCTAGAATGTTGACTGCGCGTTCGTGAGGCCAAATGGCATCAGCGTATACTTGTAGCTGCTGTAGCGGGTTCGGATCACCGTCTTGTGGTAGTCGTCAGCAAAGTCGCGGATCCAATGACGTGTCCCAAAAATTTCAGTTCCGATTTTAGAAACTTGCACTTTTGGTAATGAGGCGGTTCTGCTGCAACCGTTAGAAAACCGTGTCGAGGTCCTTGAGGTGTTGTTTCTTGGTGTTGTTGAATATGAGAATATCATCGAGGTAGATGATGACACACTTGTCGAGCAGATCTCTGATCACGCCATTCATGGCCAACTGGAATGTTGAGGGCGCGTTCGTGAGGCCAAATGGCATCAGCGTGTACTTGTAGCTGCTGCAACGGTTTCGGATCGCCGTCTTGTGGTAGTCGTCAGCGAAGTCGTGGATCTGATGGTAACCACCTCGCAGGTCGATCTTGGAGAAGAAGCGAGCTCCGCGAAGTTGGTCCACGCGATCGTCAGCACGTGTGATTGGGTAGCGAAACTTGATCGCTTTGCGATTCAACCCCGATGATCAATGCACACTCGGAACCCTCCGTCTTTCTTGGGTGGGCGCCACGAATGGGGACGTGCTGGGGCGGATGAAACCCTTCTCCAGCAGATGGTCCAGCTAGCTCCGCAACTCCATGAGTTCGGGCTGAGTCAGCCGTTACTGTGTCATGACGATTGGCTGCACGCCAAGTTCTAGCTCATTCTTGTGGTCCTGGGGGCGCTCATGTGGCAATCCGGACTCCCAGGACCACTTGGTTACGAATAATAACTGAGAGTGCGCGGAATAATAATGATGAGTACAAGAATGGGAGCCTAGCACTATATAGCGAGAGCTCTAGCTAGGCGACAACCCCTGAGTGTTAGAACTCAATCAGAACTCAAACACTAACCACTGATTTAAAAGGGCTTGTTAATAGCGGGTCAGTGCACCCATAGCCTCCCAGCCTCTGCACCTGTGGCCCTTCCCCGAGGATCTTCTCAAGGGTAACCCCAGCGGGTCTCTCGACACCCCCCCTCGCCGGGATAGGCGGAGTAAACAAGCGCCTCTGCAGCGCTAGCACTGAGAATTGAAGCCGAGTCACCAACGCTCTAATACCATGTTAGAACTCAATCAGAACTCAGCCACTAACCACTGAGTTAAAAGGGCTTGTTAATAGTGGGTCAGTGTGTCCATAGCCCCCCAGGCTCTGCACCTGTGTCCTGAGGATCTTCTAAAGGGTAACCCCAGCGGGTCTCTCGACACGGAAGGCTAGACTGGGTACAGACGTGGTCGAAAGGACCGGAGGCGGCGCAATCCAGCCTCGGGTTTGCGTCGGAATCGGACCGAGCCTGGACTTCCGAGAGTTCGGGTGTACGATATTGCAGTACAACCTGATAAGGAATAAAATTCATTACATTGTGATAATTTGTGTTACAAAACCATATAACGAAGCGGTAGCGTACACTTCAATCCCCCGAACTTCGTTTGTGCCACATCCACGAAGCTCTGTGGTGCTCCGCTGAATGCATCTTCGACCCATCACATCCCCCGTATCCACCTCACCCTGGTTTTTTCGCAACACACGCTTTACGATATCGTTAGCCTTCATCTTCGCACCCAGCTCATCATTTTGTCGCAAACTGGCAACGCATTCGAGCCGCCAGGAGCACATGAGTGCGACATCGTGTGAACAGAACTTACGTAACGTGCCCTAACGAAAGTTCTGAAATCCACAACGAAATGCTTTTGTCCTTGGAAGCAGGAAAAATCTCGGTACAGTTAGTGTGATAATTTCTATGGTTATACGACTCGTTTTCAAGAGTTGATTCCTTGACGGTCTTTATAAACTGCCCAGGGCACTTCAGTGTGGAAACTACCAATTTCATCATCCCACATTGCTGTCTCCTTCTGGCTGTGCGCTTCGCTATCTTGGCGATAGAGTCACTTTCACCTACAGCATAGCGAGCCCCCCTGCGTGAGCCTTTATTTCAATCACCTCACAATCAACTATTGGAACAAGGCCCTCGCGCGATCCCAAACAGCACCATTCTACTGTCGGCGCACCACTCTACTCAGTAGCGATCCAGTGCTTCCGTTCGCGCCGGCAGGGCAGCCTTGCTTGCTGATTCCCAGGGCTGGAAACATCTCCATTTGTTGTAAGTCGGTACCAGACAGCAGCACGAATAGGCATAAAGTAGACCACTCTCAAAACTCTCCCCACGCGTACTCTCACTCCTTGTCCTCAAGCTCGTCTTGTTTCTTTCGCTCCGAGTTTCCTTCCTCCCCCGGCCGAGCCAAAGTTTGTGGAGCTGAGAGTCATACGGTCACGCTCACGAGTACGTCCAGTCACGAGTATGATCGATTGATCGGAGCGAGACCTCGACTCCTTCTCCCCTCAAGCCCACGTTTGCCGTCATGATTTCGCGAAGCTGAACATTGCCTGCAGCTAAAACCTGCCACGCAGACAGACGACCGGGTTGAGGAGTGGGAGAGAGAGAGAGCAGACGGAGGAGACGGCATGCTTAGGGTTTAGGGGCCAGTTAAGGCGAGGCATCCGCTGCCACTGAAGAGCCACGCGGCTCTCGCGCGCCGGGAAGGGAGGGCGAGAGAGAGGGCGCTGCGGTCACACCGCTGCCACGGCGGCGTGGGGCGCTTATGACCGGCAGCTTGCGCCGAAGAAGGCGACGAAGGTCGCGACAAGAATCGCCTCCATGACCCAAACAGACTCCCACCCCGGCTCTGAAGCACATCGTGGTGTATTTGACGCGGACAGTCTGTCCCCTCTCGTGCGCGCTCCGGCCCCGCTTGTCCAATCTGCGATCGTCAACTCACTGTGCGCCGAAACCTCGTTCCGCCCGGCTCCGCTCCCCCTTGTTCCCCTGGCTCCGCGGTTTTCCGCTGATTTGAATGCTGCCGCCGATTGTTCGAAATTCTCCAAGAACGCATTAGGTGATGAGCTGATTGGTGGGCAATACCGTCGCATCCGTCGCGTCGGCGCGGGGTCGCAGGCTGTCGTCTGGGAATGCGAGGACATTGCGACATCGCTGCGGGTCGCATGCAAGAGCTACGCGATCGAGCAGGCTCCGATGCGCGACATTACGGCGGAGGTGCGATCGCTGGAAATCGTGGGCGACCATCCGAACGTCGTGCGACTGCTCGACGTGATCGTCGAGCGACGAAGCAGCGTCGCAGGAGGGCCAGACACTGCGTGTACCCTGAACCCTCGTACAAGGGTGCATGGCACGCGCATCACTGAAGCTGAAACGAGACGACCTGCGACAAATGCGGTGGTTAAGGACCGTTCGAATCATGTGGCAAGCGCTGCTGCGACAGGTGCAGCTGGGACAGGCGGAGCTGGGACAGGCGCAACCGCAGTGAGTGCCCAGACAGACCTACCTCCTACAGCCGCTTCCGCGCGTCCGATATCTGCCGCGTCATCTCAGCCGTCCGATGCATCCCTTGACGCGGAGGTGCACGTGCTGATGGAGCTGGTGCCCGGCGACGACCTCCTGACTGAGATTCTGAAGCGCGGCCCCATCGCCGAGCCGCTCGCGTCGGCTTTGTTTCTCCAGCTCGCATCGGCCGTCGCGTACTGCCACGCGTCGGGCGTCATGCACCGCGACATCAAGCCGGATAACGTTCTGCTGCTCCGCCCTCCTCCTGGTACCGCCGTCGGCGGGTCGTGCATTGTGACGGAGCATGCGGCAGGCTGTGCGACGGAGCCGGCGTTGGAGAGAGTGGCGAAACAAACGGGCGAAAAAGCAGCATTCGCAGGAGCATTATCTGCAGCGCCATGTCACATGGAAAGAGGAGTAGCTGACCCACCGAGCTCAGGCCGACCGAGCACCAAGGCTGGCATTACGGTAGTGAACGGAGCCACGGCAGCGAGCAGCGCGGCTTTACTGCCGGCGGGCGGGGGGAGAAAGGCATCGCGTGAGCCCCGCGCGGAGGAGAGCCTCTGGGGATGGCTCATGGGCGCGCGGCTGTTCCCTTCCGCTGCCGCTGGTAGAGCCGCGGGTTCCGACGGGCTCGGCGCGCAGGGCAAGGGCGCGGACAGTCCGCTGAGGGTTGTCCCTGGGAAGGTCGTGGGGCGGCGGTTCGCAGGGAGGAGCACGCGCGTGCATCCAGTGGTGGGGGATGAGCCGACTAGCGGCGCTACTGAGTTGACCGCGCAACCCGCTGCTGCTCCTGCTGCTGCTGGTGCTGCGCACTCGATCTCGCACGCGCGCTCACAAGCTTTTGACCCCCAGCCTTCCGCTTCCGCCACTCTCCATTCCCCGATTGCTTCCGCCTTCCCCTCGTTCTCGTCCACCCTCTCTGGCGCCCTTGCGCCTGCGCCCTCCCCCACATCCGTTCTCCCCTCGCCTACGCTTGTGTCGCACTTTCTAGCACACACGTCCACACCCACCGTTCCCCGCCCTCTTTCTTTTACCACTGGCGGAGGGCTTGGGGAGCGGTGCTCCCCCTTCCACGGCGATTCCACGGAAAGCAGCACGCTTTCCGCCATGGGCGCGGGGTGGGCGCACGTGGGCGCGGAGAGGGGCATCTGGGGGTGAAGCTGGCGGACTTTGCGCTGTCTACAGTGGTGGCGGGGGGGATGCGCGGGGCGATGGCGGACAAGGGCGCGGGGACGCGGCAGTACATGGCGCCCGAGATACTGCTGCTGGAGGTGCGGCGGAGAATGGCAAAGGAGAGGAGGCGGAGTCAGGGCAGCAGGGGCGGGGAAGGGATGAGGGGGAGGAAGGAGATTGGGGAAGGAGGGAATGGAAAGAGAGAAGCAGTGGGGGGAGGAGGGGTGGTGAGGGGAAGTGGGGAGAAGGATGGAGGAGGGGAACAAGGCACCGTGGAGAGCAGTGAGGTTGATGAAGCGAGGTGGAAGGATGAAGCAAGACCTGATGAAGACGAGGATGCAGGCAGTGAGTGCGGCTATGGCATGAAGGCGGATGTGTGGAGCATGGGCATCACGCTGTGCTCCATGCTCACTGGCCGACTGCCCATCGTCAAGCCGGCTAAACTGCTGGCCATCATGCACGCCCAGCAGCAGCACCAACAGCAGCAGCAGCAGTGGCAGCGGCAGCACCAGCAGCAGCAACAGCAACAGCAGCTGCAGTGGCAGCAGGAGTGGCAGCAGCAGCAGAGGTGGCAGCAGGGGGAGCAGGGAGTGTGGCAAATGTGGCCAAGTCAATCCCAGGGTAGGGAGGGGGGGGCAGCATTATATGGGGGGGGCAGGCATCACCATGGGCAGCAGCAGCAGCATGTGATGGCGTCTCAATCTCAGAATGACCCCACTCAGGCGATCTATGCACCCACAGCATATGCTTCGCACAGCTACACTGGCAGGGACCCTGCATTCTCTAATGTCACTCTCCACACACTCACCTCAGCCCCTATTTCGTCTTCAGATACCAGCATGGTACCTGTTGACATGAACAGTAGTTTGCAGATAGACTTCGAATCTCCTGGCTGGAAACGAATCTCCCCAGCTGCGAAGGATCTCATCCGCCGAATGCTCTGCATCAACCCTGATCGACGGCTGAGCTCGCTTGAGGTGTTGGAGCACCCATGGCTGAACCAACGGTCTGTGAGAAGCCGGGACTTGTCTGCACTTTGCCCTGCCCTGCTTTTCCATAAACCCTACCCATCCACATCCGCACCCACATGCACATCCACATTTACATCCACATCTGTGCCCTCGTTTTTAGAAAATGCATCCATAATGGCATTGTGAGAGCTTCACATGTCAAGGGATGCTTGGTTGCCAGCATGGCATGGTTTGCAGCAGGCAATGTGGTGCGTGGCAATGCAGTAAGTGAGGGTGCTTGGCCAAGCACCTTTTCCCTCAAGATTGGCTTCAACTCCTTCAAGGATTCAATTTCTTTGTCGTCTTCCAGATTAGCTTATTGTAGGATATTTGGGGGTTTATAGGCTGATAGGTTGTTGCATAGCCACCTCAGCTGTGCTAATAATGCAACTAGTGGGTGTAGGATTTAGAGTTTTGTGGTAAATTAGCACCTGATTGCAAAACCAGCACTGCACCAGATTGTCGTTATGGACGCGCTTACGCTTCCCCTCTCCCCCTCAGCTTATAACCCGAGCCTGAGCCGGATAGTCTGGTCTGGTGGTCCATGAGATTTCGAGGTTCACCAGACCATGGTTGTTTGTTTGACCACGCCAAATCGAACCGAAACAAACAGCCATGCGCCAGTTGCCGCTGGCCAGCCCCCGTACCCCACACAACCTATTCGTCTCGACATTGGCAGGGGAGCGCATTGATCGATGCACAAATTCACGCGCTCTAGGGTTTGTTCCATGCGACAATTTAGGTGCCACAATTCGGTTAGTCACAACTGCCGAGATGGCTTTTGCGGCAAGGTGCCACAAGTTCGGCAAAACTCGAGGGCGAGAGGAGGCGAGGGCGATGTGGGGGGTTTCGCCGAACCTAGCCGTGACTTGCGCCAAACTTGCCTTTTCTTCACCCACCGTTCCCCCCATGCACTATGTGTCAAACATGTTTATCTACAATGTTTGTATAGACTGTATAGGGTCATCTCTTAGAGAGTACAACCCTTAGATATATGTCCTTGTACAATTCTTTCTAGTCAATCATTATTCAGTTTTCCTTTAAGATGGTATCACCCGTAGGTTGGTTCCCCTCCACCTACCGCTTCCGCCCGTGCCTCCTAGGCCCCGCCACCCCCCTCCGTTCCTCCTAGGCCCCGTCGCGCCCCCCTGGGCCCTACCGCGCTGCCTAGGCCCCATCGCGCCCCCCTGGGCCCCATCGCGCTGCCTAGACCCCGTCGCGCCCCCCTGGGCCCATCGTGCCTCCTAGGCCTCGTCGCGCCCCCCTGGGCTCCATCGCGCTGCCTAGGCCCCGTCGCGCCCCCCCTGGGCCCCATCGCGCTGCCTAGGCCCCGTCGCGCCCCTCCTGGGCCCCTTCGTGCCCCGTAGGCCCCGTCGCGCCCCCCTGGGCCCCATCGTGCCTCCTAGGCCTCGTCGCGGCCCCCTGGGCTCCATAGCGCCTCCTAGGCCCGTCGCGCCCCCCCTGGGCCCCATCGCGCTGCCTAGGCCCCGTCGCGCCCCTCCTGGGCCCCCCTTCGTGCCCCGTAGGTCCCGTCGCTCCCCCTTGGGCCCCATCGTGCCTCCTAGACCCCGTCGCGCCCCTCCTGGGCTCCTGTAGCGCTTCCTCGCCCGTCGCGCCCCCCCCTGGGCCCCTGCAGCGCCTTCTAGCCCGTCACGCCCCTCCTGGGCCCCTCGTGCCTCCTCGACCCCGTTGCACCTGCCTGGCCCCGTTGTGCCTGCCTAGCCCCGTCGAGCCTGCCTGGCCTTCGCCGCGCTGCCTGGCCCCGCCGCGCCTGCCTAGCCCCGTCGCGCCTGCCTGGCCCTGCCGTGTCTCCTGGCCTCGTCGCGCCTGCCTGGCACTGCCGCACCTGCCTGGCCCCGCCGCGCTACCTGGCACTGCCGCGCCTGCCTGGCCCCGTCGCGCCTGCCTGGCCCCGTCGTGCCTGCCTGGCCCCGCCGCGTCTCCTGGCCCCGCCGCGCTGCCTGGCCCCGTCGAGCCTGCCTGGCCCTGCTCCGTCTGCCTGGCACTGCCGCGCCTGCCTGGCCCCGTCGCGCTTGCCTGGCCCCGTCGCGCTTGCCTGGCCCCGCCGCGTCTCCTGGCCCCGCCGCGCTGCCTGGCCCCGTCGCGCCTGCCTGGCCCCGTCGCGTCTCCTGGCCCCGCAGAGCTGCCTGGCCCCGTCGCGCCTGCCTGGCCCCGTCTCGTCTCCTGGCCCCACCGCGCTGCCGGGCCCCGTCGCGCCTGCCTGGCCCTGCCGCGCCTCCTGGCCCCGCCGCCCCTGCCTGGCCTCGCCGCGCCTGCCCGGCCCTGCCGCACCTCCTGGCTCTGCCGCACCTCCCGTGCCTCACCCGCCGTGCCTGACCGGCCGGCGCCTCTTTGTACCTGCTCGCACGTGCTGGGGCGCCGTTTTGCGGCCGTCGTGTTGGAGGGCGCTGCTGTCCTGTTCCTGCGGAGCTGTGCCGCTGACCCTGCACGATGGCTGACTTCGTGCTCCGACTGGACGCCGAGGGCCACGCGGTTGACTTCGCCGCCTGGCTCTCTGACCTCCGCCGCCACCTTACAGGTCAGCGTCAGGATGGCCACTCTTTGGTTGTCCATGTCGATGGTTTGCTCCCCCGCCCCCCTGCGCCCGTTCCCCTCCCTGTTGACCCCTCCTCTGATGCCCGTGAGACCTTCTCTACTGCTGCACTTGCCTGTGCTGTCTGGGAATCCCGCGATGCGGTCGCTCAGGTTGCTATTAGCCACGCCCTCCCTGTGTCTGAACGCTCGCGTTTTGCTACCATTGCGACGGCCAAAGCCTACTTAGACGCAGTCATTGCCTGCTATTCCACACCCGCGTCTGCCTCTGCTGGCCGCTTGCTGTTCCCGATGCTGTTCCCAGACCTTGCAGCCTTCCCTACCGTCGCAGACTTTGCCGCTCACCTGCGTGCCCTAGAGACCCGCTATCGCACTGCCAGCACTGCTGCACAGCTCAATGCGCTCCCCCCTCCTTTCTGCATGACGCTATATTTCATCGCCATGCGCCTGCCGGACCGCCTCGCTAGTGCCCGCGATCACTTCCTTAGCCAGCACCCGGCTGACCTCACCCTCACTGCTTTTGTCGACACCCTCACCGAGATCGAGACTCGCCAGCGCACTATCGCTCAGTCGAGCAGTGCGCCGGCAGTCTCTATCTTTCACGGCTGTGGACCCTGGGACCCTGGGCCTCTCAGTGGATAGCTGCCATGGAGCAGGAGATGGCATCTTGGAGGTCCACCGGCACTTACGTCGACGCAGTTCCCCCACCTGGGGTGAACGTAGTCGATGGTCGGTGGCTCTTCAAGGTGAAGCGCCCCCCAGGCGAGCCGCCTGTCTTCAAGGCGCACTACGTGGCCAGAGGCTTCAGTCAGCGCGAGGGGGTGGACTTCTTCCAGACCTTCGCCCCGACCCGAAGATGACCACTCTTTGGGCGCTGCTACACGTAGCAGCACAGCGCGACTACGAGCTTCACTCCCTCGACTTCTCTACTGCCTTTCTTCAGGGCAGCCTACACGAGCAGGTCTACCTGCGCCGACCACAGGGCTTCGCTGGTACCTTCCCCCCTGGGACCCAGTGGCTTCTTAGGCGCCCGGTCTACGGCCTGCGTCAGGCTCCCCGCGAGTGGCACGACACGCTGCGTGCCACGCTAGCAGACCTGCAGTTCTTTCCGTCGTCCTCTGACCCCTCGCTTCTTGTGCGGTCCGCCAGACTCCGTTCTACATCCTTGTATACGTAGACGACCTGGTCTTTGCTACTGCTGACAGGGACGCACTGGCCTCAGTGAAGGCCGAGCTGCTGAAGAGACACACTTGCACTGACCTTGGAGAGCTGCGTCGCTATCTTGGCCTGCAGATCTCTAGGGACAGAGCAGCACGCACCATCACTCTGACACAGTCACACTTGGTGCGTCAGGTCCTTTCAGAGGTTCGGCCTTCAGTTCTCCTCTGCACAGCCCACACCTCTACCCGTAGACCACGGGCTCTCCGCTCCTGTTCCTGAGGATCCAGTAGAGCCCAGCGGCCCTTACGCAGAGCTGGTGGGTTGCCTCATGTACCTGATAACTGGGCACACAGACGCGTCTTGGGCAGACGACTCTGAGACGCTCAGGTCGTCGCAGGGCTACTGCTTTAGCCTTGGTTTGGGTGCTATCTCTTGGAGATCTACTCGCTCGTCGTCTGTTGCTCAGTCCAGCTGTGAGGCTGAGATCTACGCTGGTGCCATAGCGGCACAGGAGCTCCGCTGGCTGACCTTCTTGCTCACTGACTTAGGTGAGCGGCCTAGCTCTGCCCCGGTCCTGTACGCTGACAACAGGGCCATGATCCTCCTGTGTCAGGAGCCTCGGCTTGAGGGCAGAGCGAAGCACATTCAGCTGCGGTACTTTCTCCTGCGCGAGCTACAGCAGCGCCGCCAGGCCCGCGTAGTTCCCTTGGCCTCTGGTGCCAACACAGCTGATATCTTTACGAAGGCGCTTGCGCCTAAAGATCATCAGAGGCACTGTGTACAGCTGGGTCTAGTTCCTGTAGCCTCTCACTTGCTAGGACCCTGACCTTGTACTATTCTATATATGTCTGCATATGTACTCAGACTGGACTTGTGTCCTCTCCCAGTGGCTTGACTAGTAGTGCCGTCCTGGTCTTGTTCTTGTCTTGTCTGTACTCCTTTTGACTGGTCTTTAGACCCTTGTCTCAGAGGCTGGACTAGTAGTGCCGCCCTGAGCTGCTTGTTCAAAACCTGCCCCTATGCAGTCTAGGGGGTGTGTCAAACATGTTTATCTACAATGTTTGTATAGACTGTATAGGGTCATTTCTTAGAGAGTACAACCCTTAGATATATGTCCTTGTACGAGCAACCTCCATGACCAAGCCAATGCGGCGCTCAGCAACCCCATTCTGCTGTGGCGAGTCTGGCAAGGTGTACGTCTGGGTGATGCACTCCGCACGACAGAACTGTCCAAGCCGACCAGAGGCAAACTCGCCGCCACGGTCAGAGTGGAGACACAACACGGGGAGACTGCAGCGAAGACGCGCAGCCACAACCCACGGTAGAAGAACGTCGGGCACGTCGGCCTTCCGCTCCAGAGGAAACACCGTGGTGTAGCGCGTGTAATCATCGACGAGCACAAGGAAGTAGCGCTCACCGCGCGGTCCGGGGACGGGGGCAGGGCCCCAGACGTCCAGGTGCAGGGTCTGGAGGGGGCAGTCGCAGGGCGCAGCAAGGAGGAGTGAGGAGCACGGCGGAGGCGGCCCTCGACGCAAGGCGTGCACGGTGGCGCAGTCGAGGGAGGAAGGGCAGGGAGCGACGCGGGGAGACCTAAGACAAGACCGTGCTGGGACATGTGACGCAGACGAGGGAGAGCAGGGTGACCTAAGCGGTGGTGCCAGAGAAGGGACGGGTGAGTGAGGGAACGACACGAGCAAGCTGCAGCGACCTGGGAGGACGCACCAACCGGGGGGAAGCGGTGTCGAGGGTAAACAGA